CTGCGGCACCGGTCCGCTGGCCCGCAGAGCCACGGTGACCCTGCTCAGCCTTCACTCCTACAGTCTGCACACTCACTCCTCTGCTTGCAGCATTTACAGAATGCAGAATGTTCTCTGATAGATAAAACTGCAGTGAGTACAGAATCTGAGGATTTTTCCCGTCACAAGAGATGGATTGGGGGTTTTTTTTCAGATAAAATAGCATTTAAAAGGGAATATGATAACTATGGGATTTTTAAATAGCTTTTACCCAAAGTGATTTAATTAGTCATGATCCAAGAACAGTTTGCCACACAAAATCCAATTTTTAGTTGTTGTCTAAAATCAATGCGAGGCCCATGCCTTATGCTGTTAAAATCAATGGCAATTTGAGTTTAAGAAGAAGCTGGATCCTGGTTCTGTAAAAATGTAAACCAGACCTTTCCCTCTTCACCCTGCTCTTTTTAAAATAAAAAAAAAATCACACTTTAGCTATGTTAGTTTTCCTCTCTTATAAATGCATGTTTGTAAAGAAATTTAAGAAAGATTTTACTCTTTTGACTGAAATATTTATATCACGGTACCCATAGGGATGGTTCTGTGACCTTTCAGCAGCTACATGTGAATTTCCCAAGTACATAGGACTGGAGCACTTTCATTTAGGTGGTGGTTTTTCATAGCTGTGTGATTTTGGGGTCCCTTACACTGTGTATCCTAACAAGCCTCAGGAACATTCCTGAGACTCTGGGAAGCAGAGCCATCGTGTCCCATCACCTGTGGGCATGCTGCAATTTGCAGGGGCCAGTCATAGCACTAATTTGCTCTAAGGCTTCACTGACAAATAGAAAAAAACAATTGAACCGTGAGAGGTCCAGTCAATACCTGCTGTTGCAGAGCTACTCTCTTTCAGTTCTAGTTGTATTGAGATCTGAAGGCATGGTTTTCTTCCTCCTTGAACATTCAGTCAAAAAAAGAGGAACTAATGTAGGGAAATAAACCTTTGGTGTGGGAAGAAAAGAATACAAAATGATAAAACCAGGAAATGTATTAAGTGTCTGGTTTTGAGATATTGCAGGCAATTAAAGCAGAAAAAGACATCAGTATTTTCAAAAGTCTATGTGTAATGAAAGGTAGAAATGAGAAGTCTAATCAAAGGTGCCTTTCTAGCAAAGGAGACTATCAGCAGGAACAAATTGTGGAAAGCATGTAGAACTCATACCTGTGTCTGCAGAGACAAATGACACTCTAGTTCCATGATCCCTTAATCTAGCACAAGTGCTTACTCAAACTGTAAGGGATGATCCATTCTTCCCCTGGCTCCCAGGCCTCAGTCCCATTCTCTCCCTTGCACTTGCATTTGACCTCAAAAAGTCTTCTAGTACAATCCACCCTGCAGTAAGAAGCAAAGTCTTCAACTACATCAGGTTGCTCAGAGCCCTGTCAAACCTGACTGTGAGCATTTCCAGGGATGGAGCAACTAGCAACTCTGGGCAAGCTGTTCCAGAGTTTTACTTAGTCCACATCTATAACCCTACAGTCAATTATTCCAGCCCCTTCTTAGGCTTTCAGTTGCCAGCATGCCTATGAAAGTTAGCTTTCAACAGAAGCAGCCCATCTTGCTGACCTGTGGTCTGCTTGATGCATTCTGGGTTTTACCAGGAATGAAAATTATACACATATACTCCATCAGGTGAAACCTGAGTTTAAATAGCCAAGTTTCATTTTCTTAGAAGCCTTTACCCCCTGTTTAAGGTGAAACAGGGTCTAGACAACAAATGAACATATTTACTGCACCCTACCCGGGCAGGTTGCTTACACAGTTCTACATGTGGGCAATTAGGTATGTAATGTTGTGCTACAAGCATCAACTAGGGATGAGTATTTTATAAAGCCAACATCACACATCATTCATTTGTGATGTGCAAGCTTCCCCTGCTGATTCATGTCAAATCAATTCTACATACTGTAGAGTACAATGGTGCAGTAAGAAACACTGATGAATGTGTTAAACAGAGGCACTAGTCAGTGGTGCTAATACACATGGAGGGGAGTTCAAAGCCCCTCAGTGCCTGTGTGGCCCATCCTGCCACCCCTAGGGACAGTCATCCTTTAAAGCCAGAGTGCTGGGAATGCTAAGCCTCCTTGTCAGAGCAATGTTCCAGAAGAAATCAGATTACTGCAGCTTTTAAGTCCGTCTGGCAGAGGCTAGGGCTGAGGAAAGGGCAGGGGAACAGCAAGCACCTTGAAATAAAACACAGGGTCCAGGTATAACAAAGCTATGTGTTGGAAACAGGAGGGGTGGTTAGTAGTCTTGTCCACAGGTCACATCCCATGGAAGCTCCTTGTGGATGGGGCAGGAGCTCTCTGAAGCAGGCACAGTACAAGCACAGTTGAGGAAGAGACACCCTGGCATCCAGGCACTCGTGGGCCAAACATACGTTGCTACTTCAGTGTGAGGAATCAGCCAGCTTTATGAGCTGTATCACACATTTCTGCCCTCCTTTAAAAAAGACAACTCTCCACTATCAAAAGGCAGAGTTGGACTCAGTTATTCTGCCATTCTTATCTTAATGGGCTTCATGCTGTTGGCATTATTAGACAAGCCTTTACTGTGTGGGTGGAAGCAGAAAATCTGCCAAGAGCTCCAAAACTATGTGAAGAATGGAAGTTTCTGATGAGAGCCTCTGATGATGAATCTCCTGCTACTGCATTCGTGAGAACAGGGCAGAAGCCTGAGCTCTGTGCTACCTTTTCTGTGCTGACAGTGCTCTCACTGCAGGGTTGGAACAAAAATTCGATGATTATAAAAAGTGACACGATCAATGATCCATACAAGGAATATAACATGGCAACTACCTTGTCAAAATGATATGAGGAGTGGTTATAGCAAAAAAGCAAATAGCCTCAGTGGTGCTTTTTTTTTCCCTTGTAAAAGTAGGTTGAAGAAATCAGGATACATCAAAGCTGACAGTTCATTGAATTTGGCAGCAGTTCAAAGATAGAACGTCTTGTCCACGCTGTGCAGAGCTCACATCCACTATCTGCAAGAGGTAAGAAACAAGGAGCATGGACATCTCACACAGAATAAAGGAGTGAACTGATTATTCTTCCAAGTCTCAGAGGATGCTCTATGTAGCCCCCTACACAGGAAATGCATATAGTTAATGAGAAACTACTGTAATAAAATAAAAACCCCTCTGGCTGGTAGGTGACATAAAGGAATTATGTAAAAAAACACACTCCATTGAGCCTCTAATACTTCTACTGGTATACAACAAAAAGACAAGAAAAGATGTTTACAAAGACTATCCATCCAATACTTTAAGTCCACACAAAAAGTGGAAGGTGAGGAGGGTGTGAGGATATCATCTATCTGGAGCTAAAGCTTCAAATCAGTTTTTCTCAGTGATAACTGCATCTGGAGGTTAGTGCATTTCAGCTCAGACAATTTTTAACTTGTCTAATTATAGCATGTTGGTAGTCATACTATAATTATGAGAACAGAGGCACTCTCATATACATGCCTCGAAGAGTTGCTGGTGCCAAGTAGAGCTGGTAGCAGCAGGAAGTATCCTCAGCATCAACTGAACTACTTTAGTTCTTGTTAAAATATATGTAAGGGCTCAGGAGCCTGCACCTGACCAAGTGCCCGTGCAGGAGTAAGAGCTGAAAGCTCTCAGTCCTCAGCAAAAGCAAAGCATGGTACCTTTGATCTCAAAGGTTTAGACTCGTGCACTTCACAAACAACTTAATTGTGTGGCTTTATGTGGTAATTCATTAAAGAGCAGTAACTTGGCATTTCTGAGTTGCAGCTGTTCTGTCCTGACACAGAGAAGCCATCCTGGAGATGAATGGCTCCAGGGACATCCCACAACAGCCATTCCTACACAGAGGCTGGGGGCAGCAGTGAACAAGCCACAGCAACTTTCAATTTTAGACAAATTCAGTGTATAAAATTACTCCAACAATAGAATAAAAACAGCCTTTAGTCCAACCATACTAAAGAGCTTCATTTTAAATGAGAATAACACAATTACAAGAATACAGAATGCCTCTAAATTTGATTAAATACAAATTTGGTATTTAAAGTTATCAAACTGTAACAGTTCAGCTATTCGACAGTGATACAGCTGAAGCAGAAAATGAGATCAATTTCAGAAACAAAATCTTTTTGACACAGAAATCACGGAAAAGATAAACCTTAAATGCAAGAAACAACACTGTAGCAGGACTCAAAAAGAAGAACTTGCCTCATTTAAAATGAAATTATGTGGGAGAAATAAGGACAGAGAAGAAAAAAAGGATTTGATCTCATAATTCCAATGCTTTCATAAAAGTGACTGCTTGGAGGTGTGGATGCATTAACCTTCCACTCAGGGAAGCAGTCAACATGACCCACATCAACCACATCATCAGCACCATGAAGCTAACTAGGATGGATATGGATGTGAAAGGTCACTAGATAGACTCTGACAATAGTGTAATCATGCCATCCTCCTTGTCAAACAGACAAATAAACACAAGAAACCCTAGTAATTGTTAGTCAGATATTGCTGCTCAAGTACTGAAATGAAAATTTGTGTCAAAGGATTGGAAACAAAAGTTACAGCAGACAAATAAACAGGTTTTAGCAGACTGCAGCTTGAAAATGCTAAAAATGCAATAAATTATGAAGGCAGGAAGTTGGAAAGAAGACTGTAGACCAAATTGTGTACCAGAGGCACAGAAGAAATGTTAGGTATCATCAGAATAGGTATAAGGCTTAATGAAAAAAAACATTGAAGACAGGACGATAAATTTATATGCAAAAGACAAGTCTGGAGAAATGTTACCCCAGCAGCATTAAAAAAAATAGTTTTGGAAGCAAACTCAAGTATTTTAAATACTATTTTCATGCTGAAGTAAGTAGACACTTCATTTAAAAAGAGCTGTAAGGAAGGAAAGGCACTCAAGAAGAAATCAGTGAGACTAACCATAGCATTGTTTTAAATACAATTTATTTTCAAAAGCATAAACCAGGCTTGTTTCTTTGAAGATTGTCCCTCAGAGACTGCAGCCTCTGCTCAAAGCAAGAACTCTTCTTTCCCAGGACCCCATCACGACCTCCTGAGGACTTTAACATGGCTTTGGTTGGCAGTCACAGGCTCAACCTACACCCTTGGGATTTGATGATCTGTGGGGCTGGGGGATGTTCTTTTTGGCTGCTGACTTTGCACAGCAGGAATAGTTCAATATCTTTGGATATGCTGAGGAAAATCTCACTCTGCCTAAGGGTGAGGGAATGGCTTCAGCCATCTCTAAGACTTTTGTTTACTTACAAACTCATGATGAGCCCATGACGCTGCTCTGGATAGCGACCAGGACTGCAGCCAGCCTTCCCCTAGAGCTCCTTGTGTCAAAATTGCTCCAGGGGATATGACATTTCTATACCCTTCTCCCATCTAAGTATTTGAAGTGTACTATGCATGCACATAGTGGGAAAGAATCCCTGACCTGAATTTACAGTGTGAGTGGTCAAAACGAGATAAGAGTGAGGGAGGAAGAGAGGAATATCCAACATTTTTATCTCATTATCTACCTATATCTTGTATTGTACACAGCTAGGAAAAAAATGCATTCCTAGGAGAATAAAAACCAAACCAGCCATCCTTCCCAGGGAAAGCCAAAATACTTTTTGTTGTAATGCAGTTAGGAAAAATGGTATGACCCAAAAATGTACTCCCGAAAATGTAGAATTGTAAGTTGCTTTCCCTTATCTTGTTCTCCCCAGTTCCCCTTATTGGTTGTGTAAATTCCCCCCACCCTTTTCCCCAGTCTTCAAAAAGGACTGCTTATCGATACCTCTTCCTCTTTCCCTCCTGCCATCTCACCCCAAAGGATCCCAAGAAATAAAGCTGAAACTGCCATCTCAGCTAAGGGAAAGAGCCTCGTTTTTAGGATCTTCTTTGGCAAGCTAATCTAACTCCCCTGTCCCCCTGGCTGCTGCGAGCAGACATTAGTGGCAGAGGGGCAGGGGACCCTAGAAATTATAGCAACTTTTCATCTGACAAGAAGTAGGGTTATGTTAAAATACCTCCTACACAAAACCTGACCTGGATTGGTTGCTGTATCACTCACCAAAGATTATTCCCAATAGCTGGAAGGCTGCTGCTGGTAGCTTATAACTGAGGAGCCCACCCAGGGCCCCATCACAGTTCTCCTGAGGCCAGCAGCAGGGCTAGAAATATCAGCAGCTAGAAAAACAGCAGCCACTGCTTTGAGTGGCTCACTCTTCAACTGCACATCTCCAGAAGACTCTCTGAAGATTGTCAGTGAGAATGGGAAAAACCCCAAAACACCAGTTGTTTTGTATATTTAATTTTTATCCTGGCATTTTTTTTCCAATTGCCTATAAAATACATTCTTAGCCTTCCTTTTTCCCGGGCCACATGAGTGGAGGTCCCAAGAAAACTGCAAAGACCGCAGGGCAAAGGCAGGTTCTGCCTTCCCAGGTAAGAGCTGGAATAATCCTTAAAAGTGGGAAAGGATATGTGAGCAGCAAGCAACAAAGATAGCACGTTGTATTTGGATGTTCTGCTGGGAAGATGGGCAGGGGAGAGCTCAGAGTTTCATACTGAGGCTTTAGTACCCTGCAGCCAGGAAGGCAGGCTGCAGGCTGGTCTGCACAGATAATGATACTTCAATAAAACAGACTATTAAAATAGTATACAATACTATCACATTACTATTACTACTAGTACTATACCGATAAATGTCCAGGTATAATGGTTTTCTCAAAATGCAGAATAGATTTTCTATGGACACTTCAGGCTGAAAGATAAAAGGAGTTATATCAGGATCAGAGTGCTCTGTAGGGAAACAGCCTCCTCAAAAACATGACTACAGTGGTAACTTAAAAACTATTCTGACTATCAGGAGTTGGGACCATGACATCCACCAACAAAGCAGTTTGAATGGATTTCATACTTTAAAAATTCCAACACGAAATGACACCATTCAGATTCATGTACATGTTTTCATACAAACCAGAGCAAAATACATTACAAAAATACTTTTCCTCATCTCTTTTTTTTAAACATGATTTACTGTTTGCCCTAAGCAGGAAGACAGTGTTTTCCCTCAACGGGATTATCTCAAACAGTTTACACTGGTTGTTGGCTGGTTGTAATTAAAGAGAAAGGGATAGACAGCATGGCACATGAAGCGGGATTGCAAATGCTACCTTTAACTGATTATCTAAATCAGAACACCTAATACTCTTCATGGAAATACAGTGTTTCACTCTTACCAGCTCCCTTATACTAACACGACAACTCCAAATCCCAGTCTCACTAGTTCTGAGATTAAGAAGAAAATTGTCTGGCTGCAATGGACAATGATGGATAAACCACATACTCTTTTGAAGGATTAGATGTTGTAATCCATACAGCAAGTCAACAAAAACTCATCATATCAGAAACAGGCAAGGAGAAAAGCATCCAATTACTAATGCAAAATAATGCAGTTTATGCTTTGTTCACCGCACTGTGATTAGCATTACCTATTATAAAATCACTCTCCTCCAGAAGAAGCTGCTTGCTACATGAAGTGAAAATATCCTTTCCCCTTAAAGAGCTTCTACTCCTCACTGTAGATGTGTCCAAATTTTGAGGGTAATACCCAAAAGTAGGCAGATAATACCCAAAAAGCAGAGCAGTAGGACAGAGGCACACCAGGGTGACTGTCCATGCTGCCCCCTCTCCAGCGCACTGCAGCCACCAGCAAACCCCTGGATGGGCTAAGGTGGGTCATGCCCTGCCAGAGGCTGGGTCTGCCCCACGAGGAGAGGTGTGGGTTGAGTACAGGGTTATAAACAAGCCGGTACTGGTTTCCACTTCTCCGGCAGATACTGTGAAAGAGGAGGCAATCTGCGGACAGACGACACTAACCACACTTGTTAGCTAACATTAACTCAGTAAACTGAGTAAATTAACAGTAACTCTGGGTTAAGTGACCACTTTCTTCATGCCCATTTTGGAGCTACTTGATCATCAGAAGCGCCTTGTTATTCTTTCTGTGTCTCCTATTAACAGCCCCGGCACTGCCGTAGGAGCAAAATGGCTGTTACACAGTTTCAAGATTCTTGGCACTCTTTATTCTCTGAACTCGGGGTAACTAAAGCTTTTGCAGCATTGACAAGGGTGGACATTAATCACATTTTCTCTCTCTGAAATTATGAGCAGCATGGTGAGAAAGAAGAACATACCAACACCAGTGACAGAGAAAATTCCATAATTCTTTGACCTTTTTGACAACTGAAACAAAATATTCTGGTCTAGTGGGACACTATTTGGGGTAAATCTGGCTCATAAAATACACTGCAAGTTTGGTGAGTTCGTGCAGGTCTTCAATCCTATTGAATTATTAGCCTACAGCACCGCATGCTGCAGAGAGACATAAGAGGAAATGCAGCATAGTAACTACTGTTAATGTAAAATGCATGAAAATGGATTATAAGCACAGGGCCAAGAATTTTTTTTCCACTCTAGCCCGTAAGAATTTTGCAAAAAGCACCCTCAAGAGCTAAGACCAGAGGTTGTAACGTGATCATACCTCAGCACAGATAGTGAGTGCATTCACACCAGCTCTGTGTTCGAATCTCAAAATAGAAGCTTCATCCAGTCACTTGCTTATGAGACCTGAAAATACAAAATTGTGAAGGAAGACTTGCTTGGAAGCTTTTCTACAAAGGTCAGGTACTTAAAGGTTAGACAAAGTTGTACACACAGCATGAAACATTTGTCATCTGCACAACAGAAGAAAACATCATCTTCAGAAGAAATAGATGCTGCAGTTTCAAGCCTGATTCTTTAGTCCAGTGTTTGATCTAGGAACAGTAATTGCATCCCATTTACTGTACTGATAAAAAACATGAAGCTGCCACAGTCAGTTTGGATGGATGCCAAGGCAAACTCAGGCAGAACTGAAAAATCCCGTTAAGATGACTGAGTGGCAAATGATGGTTATTTATTCTAATCAATTTGTTAATTTATTTCTGGAAAAACTGGATTAATTTGTTTTTAATCAAAATAAGGGCCTATTCATTACAGTGTGTATGATGAACCACTACTACATAGGCATAGATAGGATTTCTAAGAATTTTTTTGTAAAAAGGAAGACAGATTGGGTAATTCACTCCCCCTCCAAAAAAAAAAAAACTAAAACATTTGGGCTTGTTTCCCAGGAACACACACTTCTAACCCTTTATCCAGGCTAATTTCAAACACCATGCTGGTGGGCCCTCCATTCCAAGCTCTTTTGTCCTCTCAGTGCTGCAGCCCTCTCTGACTTTTCACTCTACTTTCAAATATTCCAGCTGTTCTCTTCCTACCCGTACTCTCAAACACTATTTAACCTCCTCCCTTTGTGTACCATTGATTAAGTGAGGACAACCCTATCTGCTGAGGCCTCTTTGTCACCTCTGCTGCTGCTGCTGCCTAGCAGGACTTAGATTTCCACAGTGCTCAGATTCTGCCTCTTCTCTCTCAAAAGGTAGGATTATAATAGTCATGAGTCACAGGTCAAAATCATATGCAAGGTATAACTTATTTTACATCAGCCCTAAAAAACCTTCTGTCTAAATCCTGGATAATGTTTAATTTGCCCTTCTCTGAACTCTAGCGTCATTGATTCCACTCTGATAACAAGGTCTCTGAAGCTCCTCCTGAGCAAACATACCAGCAGCAATTTCATCTCAGTGGAGAGGTCAGTGATAATGTCTTCACTGCTGACAAACCTGCAGATGCTCCAAGAAGATGAGGATGATGCTGGGACTCAGTACATCTGCAGCCCAGAATGACACTGGCCAGCTCCTACCCCTATTAAATGTCAAACATTTCATGCCAAAACATTTGGCATTTTTTGCTTACTTCTCCCAAATGGGTAATTCTGAAATGACATTTCCCATTCTGTGACCTTGCTCTTGTTCTCTGACTGATAACAGCATGAGCACTTTGGAGAGACTAGGAGAGGGAAGAACCAGCAGACCAGCTAGCAGTCTGGTAGCCCCACACTGGAGCCAGGCTGGCAAAACCAAAACCTCACCCCCCAGCATCATCATTTCTTCCATGAGCTGTTGTGTCCTCCCTCTCCAGTGCCACTTACTTGGCACCCTGGGCATACAGTGTCTCATTAAAACCCCACTACCCAAGCAAGAAAGGCAAGCTCCACGGTGAAGGGAGGCACATCAGATATGTGCCAGCCTCTGGTGGGCCTGGGGCACACTTCCCTGCCTATGGGATGCAGTGTGAGGATCAGGAAGCAGCACATCCCTTTCCTGCACAGAGTGCTGCTCACTCCCCAGCTACACTCCCTGTGCTCTGCTCCATCCCCTTCTGCATCTCAAGTTCTTATTTTTTATTTTTAAACAGCCAGATTCAGTCTTAATTATTTAAGCACCTTCCAGATTTAGAAAGCTGTTTTGGCTGTGAAAGTAACACTTGGTGTAATCATCCTTCATCAATAAACCATGGAAACAAATGTGTATGCCTGTTGGGAATGAATTTTATTTAAAGCACACTGAAAAGTGCTTTAAATAAAGTGTGAAAAATGTGAAAAGATCTAATGCTGGTCATGTTTCAGTGAGCTCAGCACATTTTGGCTCAAGTGAGAAAAAATGGGACTTGTGCCTTAGTCAATTAAGATGACTTGACTTCTCACAAATAGGAAGGGATGCCTCAGAAACATCCAAAGCACAAACTTGGGTGAAGGGCCCTCAGAAAGGCACACTCACCTGACAGTTGTGCTGCTTTTCGTAGGGTTTGGTGTGTTTTTTCCAAAGTGTTAAAACACATAGGCAAGGGTCTGGTCCTTCAGGGAAATAAAGATTTGAACTTTAAAACAAAAGGAGGAAAAAACCACCTCCAACATCAACCAAATAGCATTCCTAACATCTTACTGTAATAAAAGAAATAAGATTAAAGAACAGTGGAATAGCCCCAATGTTTACTTTAGTGAGAGATTTTGTCTTATCCCAAAAAGAGCTTAAGGAACATAATTTCTGATCCCACTGGGAAACACTCTGCATTATTGTGCTCAAATCATAGAATATGATACAGTATATGCTGAATTGGAAGGATCAGGATCATTATATCCAACTCGTGACCCTGCATAGGACACCCCAAGATTCACACCGTGTGCCCAAGAGCATTGTCCAAATGCTTCTTGAGCTCTGTCAGGCTTGGTGCTGTGATCACCTCCCTGGGGAGCCTGTTCCAGTCCCCAACCACCCTCTGGGTAAAGAACCTGTTTCCTGATATCCAGCCTAAACCTCCCCTGACTCAGCACCATATTTCCTCCAGTCCTGCCTCTGGTCACAAAAGCGAGGATATTGGTGACTGCCCTCCACTGTCCCTTGTGGCAACATTGAAAAGCACAATGAGGTCTCCCCTCAGTCTCCTCCAGGCTGAACAGACCAAGTGACCTCAGCTGCTCCTCATATGGCTTCCCCTCAAGGCCCTTCACATCCTTGTGGCCATCCTTCTGACACTCTCAAATAGCTTAGCGTCCTTTTTATATTGTGGTGACCAAAACAGCACAGAGGATTCGAGGTGCAGCTGCCCCAGTGCAGAGCAGAGTGGGACAATCACTTCCATTGACCAGCTGGTGATGCTGTGCCTGATGTCCCCAGGACACAGGTGACCCTCCTGGGACCTCTTCTTGACTGTTTACAGCCCAGCACCACTTCTGAGCTTCAATAGTGAGATTGCAATAAATTGCTTCAGAGAAATGACCATGGACTTGGGCCTTGGTAAACGACTGTGGTCCAGGAGAAGCAACTGGAAAGTCAACTGGAAGGTTGGTATAGTCAGTTTTGATGGCTTCACCCAACCAGCTGTCCTCTATAGCTGAGGGAAAGCTCCAGAAAACCCTTTTTACTACAACTTTCTAAAATTGCTAACTGTTCCCCATCGAGTGGAGATACTTGATCTTGAATAAACCCCATGCAAATTGCTGCTTGACTCCTCTCCTTTGCAAAGCAAAGCTGCTCTTTATTTATGTAGCATTTTCATTTAATTAACAAGGAGATGGAACAAACCTTAGGGAGGGGGAAGAAATTAAAAGGTCATCTTCCATCTCGAGGGAATACGTGAGAGAGGAAAAGAAACAAACTGCTTTCTTCCTGTTTGCCATCTGAACGAGGCACCCTCACTGCTGCCCCGTTAGATCCTCGGGGAGGTAATGGAGTGTCTGAAGAGCACGGACAGAACTTTTCTTCCTCTGTTGAGCATCCCTGCCATTGGAAAGGAGCCAAAGAGGGTGCTTTGAGATTCCTTCCTCGGACATCTGACACTGTGGGGACCAGCTCTGCATATGCATGTAAATTACACAACAAAACCAGCAGTTTTATTGTACAACCTAATTAAAATACTACCTACTTAATTGCAGCCAGAACTTACATTCAAAAATGCTGTCACGTTGCAAAGCCCGTTACTTCAAAACACAGGAAACATCAACTACATCTGTCCGTGACCTTTAAGTAGGCCCGCGGCTCATCTCATTATGATAGTCTTTAATTACATGGTCCCATATTGTTTTTCACAGGGGCCCCCCGCTGCCAGGGCCCGGGCTGAGAGCCCTGAGGCCCGAGGGGCCGCTCTCCTCTCCCCCGCCCGCCCGGGACCTGTTG